AGCTGAGCTGTTTTTAATCATGAAACCAAGTATTTGTACATTTAGGAGGCATGATCAGGCTAATCTTATTATGCTGCACTTCCAGCAACTTCTAATTTTTTACCTTTTTCCTCCCATTTAACTGTTCTTAAGTCTTAAGTACAGACTCCTGCTCCCCTCCACTCTTTGTGAATCCCCTCCCAAAAACAATTGATTGGATTTTTCTTCATAATCGTTTCAGTTGTTTCTTTCTCACCGTTTTTCCTTCCACTCAACTTTCCACTAATATGGTTGGAAGCAGCCCTCTATGAACAGCCTACTTCTTCAGCTGTTTTTTGTTAGTTTGATGGAAATGTTTCAATTTTTCTCTAAAATATATTGGTTTTTAATAATATTTAAAGCCATAATAATCAAATTAAGCAAAAATAAATGTTTAAAAAAAAAAGTTTATCACTGCTTGTAATCGAACTAAATGATTGTTGCCCTTTTACCCGAATTGCTGAAAACAAAAGATCTTTTCAATAATATTCCCATTTTTTTAGATGGACCCTGCAACTAAGTACTGCCTAAAACATCACAACCAAGAATCCTACATTTACAGTATTTGAAAATGAAGTTTTACTACATGTATTGTTTATATTTTTTTGCCATGTTGAGGGTTTCCTGCCGTCACTCCTGAGCAGCATCGGTTTGCAGGCCTGTTCTCGTTCTCATCCCTACCAGAACCGTTCCCTGTACTACAAGCAGATTAAGGGTAGAGTTGTTGTAAATGTGCATTTATATCACAAAGTGACGTTCGTGTGAACATTTCTAACGACATCCCTCTGGTGTTTTCCTTTGTATAAACCCCCCCCTGTTGTATAATAACCTGAAGTTACATTTTTTTGTCCAGCACTTGTATGTAATTGTATGCTTTTGTTATACATTTGTATATTGAGAAGTGTTTTGAGTCAAGCTATTTAATATCTTGCACTGTTAATAACATGTACTTTTTCTGTACAGACAGTTTTATGATTTTAACTGTAGTCTGAGTGTAAATACTGAGAGTTAGAGCATGTTTATTCTCCATGCTACTTTTTCTTCCTGGTTTTCACTTCCTTTATGTTCCATTCAGTCCAAATCCTGATAGTTTTTCTATTTTCCCTTTTGTTTTTTTGTTTTTTTGTTTTTTCGTCTCTGTTTTTTTGTGCTTTCTTTTAGTTTTTGTGTTTGATTATGCTTGTTAGAGGAGAATTACGGCGGATGCAGCTGAACTGATTTTCAACAAATAAACAGCCTGAAGCATCCTAGATTAAGACAAAGTAAAGGAGTTTGTCAGAACTAAAAAAAAAAATAATAATAAAAAAAGATCTCCCTGGTATTTATTAGGCTCATCCGATGATGGTCGTTGTGTAATTTATTGTAAAAATGTAAGCAAAGCAGAAGCCTCTGTTTGAAATAAATGCCATAGTTTGTGAAGTATCCGTTTTCTGCATCCGTTTTTTTCTTAACAAACATTTATTCTTTCTCTGCTGTTTCACAGCTATGCTTTAGTGTTGTTCTATCACATAAAACCAGAATAAACAAATTCAAATTGTGCCTGTAATGTGACAAAATGGGAAAATTTGATACTTTTTGAATCACTACATGCATTTTGCATTTTAAGTAAATGAAAATGTTTAATACTCTAGCAAATTATTAACAGATATATTCCAGAAAAGGAAATTATCTTTCTTTGAATATAAGTTCAGTATATTCAGTACTACTTTCAGTTGCTACTTTTTTTTGTCTGTAGCTACTTTGTTTTCATATAAAAGGCTTTAATCAAGCACCTCTTAGTCACTGTGTATTCTAGAAATGTCCCCACAAAAGAGGAACTAAGGATTAATATGCAAAAAAACACCCCGAGTCTGAGTTAGCTTGTTTAGGTTGATTAGATTTTATTGCAAAACTCATTTTCTGGTGGAACCGGCTGTGTTTGCCTTTTAGCTGAGAGAAAGAAAAAAAAGGAGTGTTGTAGTGCTAAGTTAATCATATTGGACACGCTTTCCTGTCAGGAAATATTCCACTTAATTAATCATCAGGTTTGTAAAGCAATTAATCTTATGTAGCTGATTAAACAATGTAAACTTTAATTGCATTCTGTCGATTTATTAGAGGCTTAACGTTTAACCAAATAGATTGGACGTTAATGAACAGAATTAAGAGAAAGAAGTCTATGTTAAATGTTTAAAAACACTGGAAATACAAATCTTATCTTTTAAATACTAATTTGACAAATATTTTTCTTTTTTAATAAAAATTGAATATAAATCATTTTGTGTGTTCTCTTTTTGGCTGCAAGTAAATCTGATTAACTAAAGACTTTATGTCAGAACATTTTAACATTGAATCGCTCCATGAAGCTGTATGACAAACATATTACATTTTATGATAGTAATGGAATAAACAGAACATCTCCTCCCACTTTGCCAAATCGTAGATTTTCATGTAATTTGCAGGGAATCACACTGCAATGTTATGTGCATAATAAATATACTTACCTTGCCTTACAATTAATGAATGAAGTCAGTTGTAACTGTGTTAATGATGCACACAAGGAACTTAATCTATACAGAACTGTGTTCAATTAATTTTATTTAACACCAATTCACAACAGTGTCATCTCAAGGAATATTAGAGAGAAAATTCAACCAGAAAGGGTCAGAAGGAAAACCAGACGGAGCATGCATGCAGCGAAAGTAGAGAGGAAACACTACATGACACTATTAACTTTAAAAGCATCCATACATTTAAAATACAAAGAAAAACAGTATTTAAGCCTAACCTGCTGTTTGTCTAACCATCCAAACTATCTCTATACATTCCTGTCTTAAACGTAACATTTGATAATTTGAATAATAAATCTGAAATAATTTTTTTAGATGGAGAATAAAAAAAGAAATCAAATTTATCAGAGGCGTAGCCAGAAAATGCTAATAGGGGTGGCCAGTCAATAACCTATGCATTGAGGGGTGGCCGAAAGGCACCAGAACCTCAGGGTCAATCTTCACTCCTTCAACATCCGTATTTTCTAAATAAATATATTCTTTCCTACAGCCTTTGCTAACAAATAGATGCATATTTTTAAACATCTATGCTGTGGAAATAAAGGGTATAGTGGACAAAATTCTTTCAGGTTTGAGTTTTGGGGAGAAAATATTCTACATTGTCATTACCTACTTTTATCACTAATCATTCTGCAAAAAATGGTTATTTATATATATATATTGTACTATCCCTATTTAATGAATGTTTAAGTTATTATTAAAGTAGGTATTTATCTATGATTTCACTGAAGACTCCTAGATGACTTGCAGAGACACATAATTTTCTCTTTGCGCCATATAACACAAAATCTAGTAATTGTTAATATATGAAAATATATGAAAATTTTAAAGGTTGAATAAGTTTGAAGATTCCCCTTCAGAGAATTACTGCTGCCACTGTCTGTATTAGAGGGAGAAAAATGGTAGGGGTGGCTAATAATTGGCTCGCCCCCCAACTACGGTAGGTCCGCCCCTGCAATTTATCTTCAACGCTTAAAACAAATAAAATAACAAATTTCCTCAATTAACTCTTTGTATCATCCCACCTCAACAGCAAGATGCAAAAAGACTGCTTTCAGCTGGGCACAGAGAGATTTTTTGTCATCTTTTAGTTACTTTTAATATAATTCAACATCTTGAAATTGTCTTGGAACTGAACATAAATTCCTTATTTTTTTATTGAGTATTTTAAACTTCTACAGATTATTTTATATCTAAAAGCGGCCTGTTTAAGTGTCGTTATTTTGCATTGCTAATTATTTTAAGACATAAACATAAATACAGATATCTATGTCCCAATTCTCCACTTGGTTGTACCAGCTATACATAGTGTCCAACCTTTATATATATATATATATATATATATATATATATATATATATATATATATATATATATATATATATATATATATATATATATATATATGTGTGTATGTATTTTTATGTACTAAAATATGTACTACTTTTAGTCTCCAAGGTTAATGTTTATGTTAAAATGAACATTTCTGTTTTAACACAAACTTGTTGTCACTTTTTATCTGCTGTGACAGTCGAAGGTGAAGTAAACACAATAAACATTAGGTTATGCCACTGAAGGGAACATTGATCTAACAGTTTCTTTAGATGCAGGCCCAATATTATGGAGGACCAATCCTGCCATAATTAAAAATAAATACAGAAATAAATAAATTTTCCAAAAATAAATAAACATGCAATTAATTGCCCCACAAAAATACAATAAACAAATATATTTAGGTAGAAAATAAATTATACAGTGAGACATAAATATATATATCTCTCTTTTAATTAGCTTCATTGTCTATTTACCTTTGTAATAATTACCTTATGTATTTATTGTCCTATATATTCTTCAACTTAATTTATTTGGGGGGCAATTAATTGTTTGCTTATTTATTTTTGGAGCTTTAATTTATTTCTGTATTTATTTTTAATTATGGCAGATTGGTCCTCCATACCATATAAAAAAAAAGGAAAAAAAAATATTTAGTTCTACACAAAATATCTAAGTTTTGTAAAAGAAAAAAAAATGCTGACACATTTCTTTATTTTCATATTAATTTAAACTTTTTTGATTAATGCTCATCTTACTTCTCTTATATAGTGCTTTATAAAACACTGGCCCTTGGCATTTAGTTAAGTTTATATTGTAGCCTTTAAATCATGTTTTATTCTATTATTCCGCTTTTTGTTTTTATAAATCGACATTCTGTCATGGCAAATAGTTAGCACCTTTTTGTACTGTAAACATTTAAATAAATTTTATATAAAAAGCGTAGGATATGAGAGGAAATGACCTAGAATTTATATATAGCATCCCGATCCATTCCAGTAGATGGCGGTAATGCGCATCAATACATTGCTTGCCAACCGCCTTAAAAGAAGAAGAAGAAAAAGGAAATGACCTTCCCTGACACCATACGTCTTACGTCACGTGCTCCGTATTTCCTTTCCGCCGCAGTGTGCTAGCACCTAGCCTCGCCTGTCCATGAGTAGTTTTTAGACATGATGAGCGGCAAGACGAGTGCGATGGTCGCCGGGATGTGCGGCGCCCTGTTCGTCGCATACTGTATTTATTTTGACCGGAAAAGAAGGAGCGACCCTTTGTTTAAGGAAAAGCTTCGTGAACGTAAGTTGTCTTTTTTTTTTTTTTAACCGACCGTTAAGTTGTGCTAGCCTCGTTAGCCTCATACGGCTAGCCATAGCCCGCAAGGACACCGCACTAAAAACTTGTCATAGTCTCCCGCATTATGAATATTTATTGTTCTCGAACTTATTGCGAAACCAGGAAGTTATAGTTTCAGCTATGGTTTGGTTTTGTAATCAATCTTAATTCTCTAATTTTAGTGTCTGTAATCTCGTTAGCACGTGTTTTGACCTGATTTATCTAAAGAGGTTTTCATTCATCCCCCCACAGGTAGGCGAAAGCAAAAAACATCAAGTGAGAAGTCTGGGATGGCAAAGGTGGGTTATAAGTGGGAACACATCGGTGTCCTTTTTCTGACTTGGAAATTAAATGTTTAAATGAATAACTTTGCGTGGTGTTCTGTAGCTGCCTGACCTGAAGGACCCAGAAGCTGTTCAGAAGTTCTTTTTGGAAGAAATCCAGCAGGGAGAGGAGCTGCTGTCCCAAGGTAACAACCCTGCTTTTAGTCCTGGGGGGCTGTTTTAGTTCTAATACTCACTTATTCTACTTCTTATTGGTTTTGCATAATTAAATGTATTTATATAACTTGTTTACAATAACTACCATGCAACACAACATTACCTTTTTACCTCCTATCCCATTGTCCCCTGGATTATAGCTGTCATTTTATAGAAGCACACTAAAAGAGGAATGCTGGACCTTTGTGTCTTTAATACTGTTTGGTTTGTTGCTTAGATCTTTGCTGGTTCCGCATTTGACTACTGCTGGGCAATAAATCAATATATTGATCAATATATTGATATTGATTCAGTGATTCTTGAAATCTTCTATAGAGACTCTAAACAACAACCCATTCAGAGAAGCAAGTATACCAAAGTTGTAAAAACAATATATATAAATGATATGCATTTAAGAATAAAATGTCTGCCATGTCTACCCAGAACTCAAGTGGAAATTTTTAGTTTCACTTGGTTTAATGAAAAAACAGCGTATAAAAACATTTGGCTATCCGATTATTAATCAATTGATTGCAAAAATAACAATCCTTACTAATTAATCTGGCCCTTATTTTTTTCGATATAGCTATATAGCAATATAACAATTTATCAGATTAATCGGGATTAATTTAGTAATCAAATAATTCTTAATTGGAGTGTAGAGAACATGTCTCTACCTGATAGAGCAACCCACCGTTAGCAGCAATTATAACAAAATTATAAAAAAAAAAATGTTTTCCATTTAAGATGGAACCAATATCTTTTTTTTTTTTTGTCAATTTGCTCTATCCAGAACTCCTCAAGTTCTCCTCCTAATCAATCTCTTGGACCAATTCTTGTTGTTTTTCACCTTAAAGATCTTTGAAGGTTGGCAGTAGAATAGTTTGTTTACAGCCAGGCAACTCGGCCCCTAAGAGCCACTGATAGCTGATTAACAGGCTTTTGCTGAACTGCAATCATCAGGCGAACAACTTCTTCCTGCATTTTCTCCTTTTCCAGATCTGATCTGATGCATCCTTAGAAAACCCCTCAGCTGCTTCTGTAGCTTCTGGGACAAGAAAGGGTGCTAGATCAACGTTAGAACTATCCAAAGCTGAGAGCAGAGTTTCTGTAGTTGTCAGCTATTTCACCTCTAAGACATAAAACCATCAGAATCAGCTGTGCTGAAGCAGAGAAACCTCTAAAAGGTGCCAGTTGGCAGCACTCGAGGAAAGACTCTGGGCATGCCTGGTTTATATGAAGCAAGTGGATATGATACCTTTAAGGAGCATATTCTCATAATTCCACTCCAACTGTACTTTCTCGTGCTGTTGATTGATGAGTCGGGATAGAGAGGCCCAGCTAGCAAAGTTTTAAAAGGAATTGCAGTGGTCAGGTTGGAAGTGATAAAAGCGTGGATCACTCTTTCATGTTCACTGGTTGGTTAAAATGGATTCACCTTTTCCTTTAAGCAACCTACGCTCCTCATACCTTCTTAAAACCACGGTAATTATACCTCATAATTGAGAGCAGATAACACCACCGCTACATGAGAAAGTAGAAAACACAGCCTTGTACAGCTTTATCAAAGCCTCTTCCTGCCGTCCGAGAGCCACATAAATTCCCAGGATGTCTCTAGATGTTTACGTTAGTGAACCCTCGCTAGCAAGAGGGGCTGTTCGCTCTGCATGTTTTCAGCATGGATCTGCTCTCTTGGTAAACATTTTTCCTAGATGCTCCACGTGAAAATTCTATCCGGAGGCCCAAATGATGTAATTTCGCAGTGTGGACCTTGCAGAAGCGTCAAGCATAAACCAAGCTTGATATGAATATGGAAGAGCTGCTTTAATTGAAAAGTTCATCAGTGCTATGATGTTCAGTGAGGAATATACTGCATGTTAACTCATTCAGCCAATTTGTTTTGCAGCTGAAAGAAAAAACAAAAAAAATGTCACCTGGACAATAATCAGATCATATTTACATGTGTATTGAAGAGGCAGCTGATCTTTGGAAAACCAGAATTATTGTTAATGTAGACTCTAGGATCCAAGTTATATAGCGTTACATGTGGTGTACATTAATTTGATCAAATACAGTAAAACTATCTTTTTTTTGTTTGCATTATACAAGGACCACTCTTACAGTCGTCTTTCTCTTTGATTTGACCCAGGTGAATTTGAGAAAGGCGTCGACCACCTGACTAATGCCATCGCAGTGTGCGGTCAGCCTCAGCAGCTGCTGCAGGTCCTCCAGCAGACGTTGCCTCCTCCTGTCTTCCAGATGTTGCTCACCAAACTCCCCACAATCAGCCAGGTGAGCTTCTTGTTCCTACATTTTCTCCTTTTGCAGATCTGATCTGATGCATCCTTAGAAAACCCCCCAGCTGCTACTGTAGTTTTCTGGGACAAGAAAGGGTGCTAGAACAACGTTAGAACTATCCAAAGCTGAGAGCAGAGTTTCTTTGGTTCTCAGCTATTTCACCTCTAAGACAGAAATAAGCAATGGTAATTACCAGCTGTTTAACAATTGTTGTATAAAACCTTAAGGTTTAAATCTTTTTCTTTGCTTCCAGAGAATCATCAGCTCCCAGGCTTTATCAGAGGATGACGTGGAATGAATGCATAAAGGAGAGGGAGACAGAAAACTGCTTTTACTTCTCCTTGAAAGGGTTTAACAGTGATTATTGCAGCATCATTAATATTAGGGACTGTTGTGACTTATCAGCCCAAATATGGCCGACTTTCTGATGTTCTGGAGTTAAATTGAACTCAATGGTTCATTCCACCTTCCTCCCATGAGATATTGTGTTTTCTAGTAATTTTGTTTGTTTTCCCTCATTCTTTTTTTTTTGTTTTGTTTTTGTTAAGCATCATGGCAATATTAATATATTATATTAACATAGTTTGTCTGTTGCTGTGAGTATGACATTAAAATTGTCTTCAGGAAGAAGAAAAAACAGAAAAAGTTGTTCAGTTGTGTATAAATGCATTTGCATTGTTGGTTTAATGTTGTTTTTATATTCTAGGCTGTCACCTACTCGTGTAAAACTCCATAATAAAACATTAAACCATTCAGGGTGTCTGACTGCATCGGTTCTTACAGTTAGAACTATAAGTGATTTAGAACGTGGTTTTCCAACTTTAATGAAACACATTCCCCGCTGAAGGAAACGGATCTGAGGTGAAATTGTCATTTTTCTTTTCGGTGTGCACTCTGAAAGATTTAAGCACCTTTTTAGATTTTTTTTAGAGTTCTGTATTTGAGCTCACTTCTGATTATAATTCTGATTATAATCCAGATTCTTGTTCATTTGCTTCCTTTAGATTCATAGTTTGCAGTGATAGGAGAAAAAACACCTCATTATGTGACACTATGACTAGAAAAGTGTAAAGCAATAGGTTGTGAAGGTTAGTCTGACTGCTTGAAATATGGGAAAACAAAAAACTTTTTTTTACTGTTTTTTTTATTTATTTTTTTTACCCATCAATACGGCTCCCTAAAAGGATTAGAAGCAGCAGTTTACTTGGAGATTTTAATTTTGAAAAGATCCATTTATTTAATTTTCCATGTCTACAATAATATAAGCAAAGAGGAAGAAAACAATGCTTAACTTGAAGAGATTTGCTCCAATTTAGGAAATTGTTTTTTTTTTTTTTTACCTAAACATAGCCCTATTAAAAATAAAAAATACAGCCACTCTATGGCCTACTCGAAATAAGATTTAAATCATGTTGAACTGGATCTGTGGTTCTCTTATTTTAAGAGCTCTTAAACTTATCTGTTCCTGATTTATTGTTTTTAAAGTAGTGATGAAAATAGCAGGACCCTTATGATAATTTCAGTCTTAGAAGCTATAGAACCTGAAAGCATTCACTTTAAACAGCACAGTTTATTCTTTATGCTCAGAAGGAAGCAGGAACAAAAAAGCTTTTTCCCAAAACAAAACTTAGGCGTGGCTAAAATACCCCAAAGTCACGTAGAATCAATTACTCACTTTTATTTCTCCCAAATGAAGTAAATTGAGCAGCAGAGGAAAAAGTAGAATAAAATAAAAACATGCAAGAGGCAAGCCACTGTTTCCTCCTGGAGGTGAGGAGAGAGATGGCAGAAGGAACAAGGAAGGATTGTAAACGTGTTGAAGACATGTTTGCTCAAAATAACTATATTCAGTGAAACATGGCAGTGTTATCATGATGCGGGACTACCTGTTTTTTTTTTATCCAAACCTTCAGGAGTCTAATGGAAAATTAAACATCAAGAGAACATGAGTTTCCTCATTGGGGAGCTCAAGTATCACACCCGAGTTAATAAAAGAATGACTCCTCAAGAAAACCGAATCATGGTGAAGAAGTTAATCTGATTGGCTAAAGAGATGCCCTCAGAATCTGGTGCATGAGGATAATTCAAACCAGGTAGAGAGGGTGAATATATGAGATGAAGGGATGCTGGAAAAACTTCAACAAGCTTTAGTTTGAAACTTTTTACTCTCACCTGCCAAGGGATTTCTTCTCTTTTCCCCCAGTAGAACAGAACAGGATATAGATTATGATCTTCACTATATGTGTACCAGCAGGTGGCAGCAGCCATGCATAGGAAAGTCCAACCCTGCTGGGGTTTTCTGTTTGGGGAAGTTGAGAGATTCTGATTTAGGAAGATGTCATGTAGAAAACTGAAGTGTTTACTACTTTCAAAATAGTAAAAATAAATAAATAAATGTAGCTGTAAAATATGAGCACAGGGGAAAGTAAATCAAAAATCTTAGCATTAATAACATTCAGACAGCATCAGAATAATGTACGGTCAGTAACATGTGGAAACATCCGTTCCTGTGAGTCCACACACAGCAGGACCTCAGGATGAATGGCCTTATTGTGTATGCATGAGAGGCAAAGTGGAGCAACCAGTTTAGGGGAAGGGAGTGGGTCTGGTCTAGTTTGGGAGACAAGCAGAGGCGTGATTATTTTTATCCCAGTCTGCAGCTGTTATTCCAAAACCCAAGCCAGAGGAAACTGGGCCACGAGGTTCGCCAGGAAACCAGAGCAAAGGAGGGAAAAAAGACTTTTTCTACATAAGGAATAAAAAGTGGAACAACAGCTTAGAAATGTCAAATGGAGTCTAAATGGTTCCAGTTTCCGTGAACTCATGAGCTGCTGCTGTTAGAGTCGTTTGGTGGAGCTGGAGAAGCCCATCAGGAGGCCCTGCAGGGCCTTTTGTGGGGGGGGGGGGAAAGGGACTTGTTTTTGATTTCTCCCTTTGGCTGGATATGCAGAAGGTCAATCTGAAACTGTGGTCTGCATCTGGCTTCACTACACTTCCAAACAGTTTACCACAGGCCTGCTTCTCTCATAAATAAACATTCAGCCACTGGCTCTGTGGTTTGTCCCCTGCAGAGTGGCTCAAAGTTCACTGAAGGATACCATACCACTGCTGTCTGCTCGGGATGTTTGAAAGCTGGAAAAACAACAACAAAAGACACAAAAAACAATGAAAAATGTTTATAAAATCAGACATTGTTGTGGTTCAGAATGACACAGCAAAATCTTGTTTTTGTGCAGCGCAACATGATGTTTATTCAATAAATAGGATTCAAATCCATGAGATGTTGGCTATAAAGTCCTTGCATACAATTATTTCAATTTGACTAAATTGCCTGCATACCTCATAATGAGTCAGCGCTTTGTGGCTGGTAACGAAAGCTTTCAGATTTACCAACTCCTTTCTCTTGCAGTAGGGAGCACTGTTGCTTCAGGGTGGACTCTAGCTGCTCTGCACTGAGAAACCTGGGAGCACAGCAGCTCAACAATGGCTTTGCCTGCAGCAGATAGACTGTTTTCAACATCCACCTTTATTTCTCTCAACTTGCACATGGCAACAGATTCCATCCAACCTGTTAGTTTATTAACGCAGCCTGATTTAGCCCGCTTTACAAATATGTTACACTCCAAATTGGTGAAGGGCTTAGAGAGGCAGCCAGAGGCAATTCAGACTAATCTGTTTGAAAGGATTCTGACTGCAAGTTCTAGATTGGGAACATGGTAATTACTGTAATAATTTGAGATCTTGTCAACAAATTATCCACAACAGCTCATGACCTTTTGCATGGTGTTATTTCATAGTGCGAATTTAAATGTCAAATGCTGGATTCCAGTTTCTGTAGAGCGAGAGTGATCTGAAAGAAGCGATGGAGATGTCTGGTTATGTAGGAGCAGCTGTGTTTGGGAGTTCAAGGCAGCCAGAAATAACTCGGTTGTGTGCAGTTTCTATGGCAGCTTCACGTAGGCTCTGCTGCACTGCTCTACATTTAAAATCCTTCGAGTGTTGTCTCTAAGTAGCTTTATACTGAGGATAGGGAAGAGCCATATGGTAAAAATATCATTTCAGACTCTTTTATTGCCAATAAATTATCAGTCTATTGCTAATAGGTAATTTTCTCTTCATAAAACTAATATCACACAGGATATCAGGAGGGATTAGGTTTTATTTTGTTTATTTATAATATATATATATGTGTGTATATAATTTATTTTAAAGGGAAAGGTTAGTTCAATGGACAATCTTTAAGCTATTATGCATTAAAGCCACATAGGCTGTATAAGAGGTAGGATGACCGTAAGAAATAATGCTACATTACTAAATCGTTTACACAGAAAAATGCATTAAGTAAAACAGTAACAATAACTTATTTGCCTCCTAAAATAATATAAATACCATAATATTCAGATACAATAATCAGTGTTTTGCTTCTGCAGACGTTCTATCAATAGCAAACAGTTTGCTGATGCTAACTGACCCATTCTTTGTTTTGATACGACTTGTTGATAATTATCTCCTTCAAAATAGATTTCCAGTTCTAATGCAGAAAAATGTAGCAGTCATTTTTCTTTTCTTAATCAAAATTATATTCCTTGAATATTAGAGTTATTTGTTTTATATAATTGTTGCACGCTATGCTGTATTCAGATCTAATAGGTTTTAAGTCTTTGTTCCTCTTTCAGAAATACTTCCTCGATATTTTTCTTCTAGTTTAGCAGACCTTTGTGTCTTATTAGTACAAAAAAGCATATTTTTCATACATTTTCCAAGATAAATAAAGGGTTTATGAAATTTTAAAGGAAATCTATTGCAATAGCAGCAAGCTGAGCTATTTTCAGGTCACGGAGCTGCAGCAGCCAATACAGTCTTTCTTTCACAGTGACCATCAATATAGATGGTAGACAGACAAGGAAGTTGAAATTTTTTTTTTCTTTTGTAGTTTGCTAAATTCTGCAAATCAGCATGAAAATCAATGGGCCTAAATAACAGTTTTAAGTTTGACTATTTATTCTAAAAGAAAATTACTCTGTCAGCATATTTTAATAATTCCATTTATTTTTGTGTTGCTACAGGCATGTACCAGCTAGCAGTGCAAGGTTTTGAGCTGCCATGAATGAAACTATTCCATCATACAACTCCGAACGTTTAATATCATTCTAAAGAAACGCAAAGTAAATGTAGGATTTACCAAAACTTTATGGTGCTGTACAGATAGTAGAATAACACAAGGCTTCCCCTCCCCCACTTGTTTCAAAGCACTGACAGACAGCTGGCTGAAAGAAAACATCTGTAGTTTTCCAAAATTCTGGTGAAGATTCTCAGTCATTCAGTTCTTAGCGTTCCAAAAAAGTAAAAAAAAAAAACGGAAAAATAGGGGAGGCGGAAAAATAGGAAGAAGAAATTTCCAAGGCACGTCCTAAAAATAAAGCTGCGCTGTACGTGCTCAGAGTATTAACTTTCACACAGATGACCCATTTTCCATCTCAAAGGGTCTGAGGTTGGGTGGAAAAAGCATGGTGGTGGGGAGGGTGGAGGCGACAGTTTAGCCGATCACGTGAACCTAAAGCAGGCTACAAATCCTGGTGGATTTTCCTCTTCCCCCTGTGGGGTAATGTCTTTCTGTCATCTGTTTTTCCATTCCTCTACTGCTAACACCCCCACCAACCCCACTCTAATTTTGTTTCATTTGCTGCCCTTCCTCCACTCTCCAAGCTCTTTTTTTTTAACCCCCCTCAACTGACTTGTTTACATTCTTAGTG